TGCTTTGTAAACAAGATCATTCAGCAGCAATACTTGGCTAACCTGCGATTGCGCAAGCCAGTAAAGTCCTGCAGTGATGTGGCTTTGTTGCGAAACCTATTGGACATCATCCACATTCAATATCAGAGGACTTAAGGCACTTAGATGCCTGGAGCTCTCCTATGCCGCCATGCTCATCGAGGTCCTCACCAAAGTTATCCCCGGAGATATCTTGGTAGAGTACTTCAAGCAACAGAGCTGACTGACAAACGTCGAGGCGGTTGCAAGGTCGGAGACGGAACTTCGGGAGCTGCTCAAGTATGTGCGCACGAAGGTGGAGGCTCGTGAGAAAATTGCCTTTGTGGACATTGGCGGTCGTGGTCTTTGAGATCACTGGCAAGGCACATTTCACAACGCTTCACTTATTGCATCTGCTCTGAGTAGCCTACGCAACTAACCTTTCTTCACCACACTCGACAGAGGCATGTCCTTTCCGACATAATTATAGACGAGAAAAAGAGCCGCTTAGCCAAGGACGGCAGATGTTTCAAGTGTACCAGCAAAGGACATCGCTCTGAAGAATGCCGTCGCTATCTGAGGTGTTCTAAGTGCACTTGAAGACATGCAATGGTTCTTTGCGACCCCGAATACTCTCACAAGCAGCGCTCAAAGGAATCAAAGGAGCCCTAGCTTGCATGCCAAATCAAAGAAGTCATCATCGCAACATAAAGAAATTTCGGCGCTATTACATACATTTCGTGCATGGTTGATAACCGAAAGTGACTCACGCTTTATTTGAGGTGTCTTTGACAATAAAAGCCAACGGACATTCATTAGAGAGGACATCTGTAAGAAGCTAAGATTACCCACAGTGCACACCATCGAAATGCATGTCATAGCATTTGGAGAAGCGAGTGGAGCGCCGGAAAGACGGGTAAACATTGCGAGAATGATGCTATTGAATCACTTTGACCATACCACGGCATGATGTCGAAGCTATAGAAGTACCATTCATCTGTAAGCAGCTGATAGAGCTTCCACCCACGAACACATTTGCGCAACAGCTGCTACACGAAGAGAACTTTATTGCTGACATGGCTGCGATTCCTGGATTGAAAACTAAGGACGGCATATGCTTGCTCGTTGGAGCAGACCAAATGTGGAAGTTTTTGTTAAACGAAGTTTTCCTTGACGAGCATCAACAAGGCCTGGTGTCCATCAACGCAAAGCTTGGTTGGACCTTTCAAGGTCCTATACAGTGCGAAGAACAGCATTTTGAGTGTGCTGCTACTACTACCATCTGTATACTTGACACGAGCTGCGTGGACATAGACATCCCTCGCTCTCTGCAACAACTCTCGTATGTCCATATCGAGAACGAGACAATGTGGTCATTTAACGAGGAAATGCGTCACAGCGATCGGCAACTTGAAGTTAGACTTCCTTTTAGGGCATTGAGCTCAACCCAAGCAAAGAAACAAGCAGCAGCCAAGCAAAAGCTTCACAGATCGACACGGCACATTGCCGCAAGGATGAAAGCTGAAAGAAAATCAGGCAGCACAACTCCTACGGACGTTCTGAAAACCATTTTTTAGAAGACGAGAACACGTTTTCAACAACAGGCGTACCGTCAGGATATGAAAACGCCTTATTAAGGAAGCTCACATTATGTGCGGCAAGAAAACACTAATGGTACTGCCGAACCGGTAACTCAGCACATCAATATGCCTGCTCATCGAGAAGTACATCATGGTGGTGTTTGTGCAACATTAGCCAAAATTTGTGCTTGTTTTGGGCGGGAGATCTGTACACGCAGTTAAAAGTGAAATTGGAAAGTGTTCGACGGGTGCTCGGTTTCAAGCGAACGTGACAAGTGCACTGGGAGCAACTCGTCAGTGCGATAATGTGCAGCAGGTAATCAGAAATGACAAAAGTGGATTTTGTCAGGCCGGTTGTTGTGGCACTATTCATGCGTGAATACAGTCGCCGACCGATTTTCCGGACTCCAAAAATTCGGACTTGTTGGATATTCCGGACTTCATAAATGCACCGTCAGGGATTCCATAGAGCTAATGCATTGTTTCGACCGATTTTTCGGGCGAATTTGCCCCTGAAAGTTCGATTTTTCGGACTAAATCGCTCGTTTTGATCCACGCTCCAAGCCATTGTGAACGCCGCCATGTTGGATTTTCTGTCGGCTTGGCTAAGCTTGGTCTTCAAATGCCTTTCCTGCCTCCGAGATTGGAATGCGCACGCCATGTTTTAAGTTTCGGAGGCCGTGTTTGCTTTTTAAAAGACGCGGTAATGGACGCCGTTTTTTCGTCTTCGGTCAGCACTATCGTCATCACATCGCACGGGGAGGAGGCGAAAGAAGGATTCTTTTATTGTCGTTGCAGCTTTTTTCAGTCGCCATTCTGCACGTGTTGTGTCGCGTAGTGTCGAGACGTTGTGTGCTTCGCAGCGGCTACCTGCGGCATCGAATTTTGTGTTCTCGGTGCCATGGCTCCGCTATCTGTGCCATCGCGGGAGCCAGGTGGTGTGAAGAAGCGTGGGAAGTATACGACCCTGACGATGGAGAAGAAAGCTGCCATAATCAAGCTAATAGAGAGTGGACGTTCGCAGCTAGATATCGCTGGATGACGGTCGACGCCGGATGGCGGTCGTCGTTGTCGTCGGATGACAACGACGACCGCCCGCAGCCGTCAGAGATCGCCAACGCGGTGACAATTTTGTCGAGCGTTTACGGCGACGATGTCACCTTGGCGCAAATACGGGCAAACCAAATTGCCTCTAAGCGTAGTTTGAGGCAAGGCAGCATCAAGGACTTTTTTTAAACCTGCCTGATGCAATAAACTTAAGATTTTTGGCGAAAACGAATTTTTCGGACTGTTCGATTTTTCGTACTTTTTTTCGGTCCCCGCCAGGTCCGAAAAATCGGTCGGCGACTGTAGTGCTTTAAGCAAGTGCAGCTTAGTTTCTTAAATATATGCTTGTGAGCAGTTCTTATAAATTTGTATATCCCTTTCATAATGGTATTCCATCGAACTACTCACCTCACCTTTGTTCTCTATTTTACCGGCAGAGACAACTTTTCATATTCAGCCTCTATTCATCTTAATACTTCTTCGCTTATTTTTAATTGTTTCGAGCTTGAAAAGTAGTTTACAGTGAAAAACTATATCAAAGGCCTTTCTAAAATCAACGCAAATTACATTTGTCTGCAAGAGGGCATAGATGTTATTATAGAAGTCGTGGAGCATTTCAGTTAATTGTGTAACCATAAAAAACTATGCCTAAGTCTGTGTTGTTTATGCAAAGTAACTTATTAGAATCGAGAAAGCAAAGAATATGCTTTGCTCGTAAATGCTCAAGAAGCTTTGCAGCAAATTAACGTCAAAGCTATGGGCCAGTAATTGTTTACTGACGTATGTTTACTATTTTTAAAAATCGGTATTACAATCGCATTGCTCCAATCTTCTGGAAGTGATCGCCTTTCAATCGGTTTTACGTATGTTATTTTTAAATGAATCGATACCCATTCGGCTTATCGCTTGAGAAACTCTATTGATAGATTATGTTTACCGCTTTCTTTCTTTTCGTCTAGCTCAAGCAATAACTGAAAAACACCTTCACGGTTGATAATGATGGGTTTTACAGAGGTTGTTACATGGCTACTGATTAATGCCCCTATCTTATCGCCTTTGTTGGGTTTGGGGATTGCGAGAATTATGCAAGGAAAGTCTTCTGCTCAACATACGGGACAAGAACAAAAAAGTGCCGTGGCCTGCAAGTTTGGATTCTCACACTAGCAACTTACTACAAGCTTTCGGAAGTACTAATCAAGATTTACCTTAACAATGAAACCACAGGCTCCACACAAGGCAAGATTTATTTGAGACACAAAAGCTGCAGGCGAATAGCAGAGAGCTTTAGAATACCGTACGCAAAGCTTGCAGGCGTAGCGTTAGCGTCGTCACTCAACGGGAGCCCACATAAGATTAGCTTATGATGTCAAACTTGGGCTAATGGCCATCTAACACAGAATCGTCCGCATTTACCTTTGGATGAAGATTTACCACACATCCCAGTCTTAGGCACACGGAAGACCCAGCGCATCTTGGTGGCTTTCAGCTGTCCATGCTGTTGTCGCCAGCAGTGAACACAAAACTCGTTCGCTCCAAGGTGCCTGCTGGTGGCTCTGTTGCCATTGTTTAGTGCATGATGAATCACTTTCAACTTGAAAGGAGCCATGTAGCTTTCTCGTCGCCCGATAGTACCACTCCAGAACGGACACAATGTATGCTAACAAGCCAAACACACCGCAATACATACTTGCCACTTTTGCTTGGCATGAATTATGGATACAGTTTGTTGAGTACGATACTTAGTCGCAGAAAAAAAAAATAGTATTTTGGGGGGCAAAGGGGGGGTGCGAGAAGTATGCAAGCGCGAGGATTGTGCCAGTAAGTACGGTAATTGGGCATTCTTTGGGAATGCCTAATTGTTGTTTCGTCTTTATTATTCGATTTTTTTAATGAAGGAGAATCGTTGCCTTCAACAAGTGGTGGGTTGCTCATGTGCGATCCAGTGCCTACATATACAGGGTGGCCAGTGAACAGTTATGCAGCTCGAGTAGTCGGTTTTTGCTAGCATACGCTGCCTGCGTCAGCCTTGCGAGGTGAGAGAGGTGAGGGGAGGGGTGTACAGTTGGCACAAGACATGATCCTGCTCAGTAACGGTGTAGACAGCGCCACCGCCGACTGCCAAAGTGCGACTTCCTGAGAATGAAAAATGCTCTGCATTTAAAATGCACACTCTCTCCTGATGGCAATCTAGAGGCATGTGTCAAAGAACCTGCCTGTTCTTTTTTGTTTCTCTTTTGACCCATCTACGCATCCGTGTTGCATGTATTTTGTGATGACATTGTGAAATCAAAAGTTGAGAGTGGCATTTATCTCATGACGATGACTTTTTTTTTTTTGCACTAAGTGCCTTGAATGCTGCCTGCCTTTCTGATGCAGTGGCAGCCCAGCAGCCCCCAGCCCTGCAGCAGTCTTCTCTCGTCAGCTGCAGCTCTAGTCAGCAATTTTTGGAAGCCGAAGTGATAAAAGCTGCTCTCCTCAACACATGCACCTGCTTGGAACTTATGTCTCCTGTGCTGGGTATGTTGAAAAATGCCCCAGCCAGTTGACTTGTTTTATTTCACGTGTAGAATTTATTTATAATGTGACACAAAATATTGTATAAATCGAAAAGCATGGAATCGTCATCGGTTTCCTGGGTGGGTTCCTTTCTTGGTGCACGATCCATCAAGTGCCACAATTGAGCAAACTAGTACTTAACTGTCGTGACTGTAGCAGATTAAGCAAACTTGCCCTTGCACTTTCAGCCAGCACAAGAAAAGAAAGGACCTGCACTGCTGTTGAATGCGGGTGTCATTTGTCATTGTTGACACAAGATACCAGTAGTGCACATGGGCTTTTCGGTTGCTGTTTCACAGGATGTACTTTTCTACACACAATTTATAGCTTCATTCACTGTGGACAGGGTTATTCAACACCTTTCTGGCCACAAAACTGCCACCTCAGTTTCACATAGATCTCGCACCCATCGCCAGGGCCGGAACTCGGCACTTTAAAGACCATTCAGGCACTGTTGTTGATCTAGTTGTGTGTGGGGTAGCCTCGGTATTCAAGCCTCGTGAACTTCTGCTTCCGTCACTTCACTTTCACGTGTTATCTAACATTCAACATGCATAAATACCACTTAGACTTGTATAAAAGCCACACTTCTCTTTCACGACTTTGATGGGGTGTGGCCCTCACACAAGATCGAGCCTTTTGGCGTATGCCAGTATGATGTTCGCAATAATTCGCTGTAGCCTTCTATCATCTCAAAGGCTAATGCTGTTTTTTAATAATCACTTTGTTGCATCAGTGAAACATGCCGCATAGTAGTGCTTAGTTATCCACTCTCACTGCCACTGGTGCTCTTGCTTGGCTTTGGAGTGATTGTGTATACGCATAGCTGAAACTTCCAGTCTCTTCATAAAGTACAGGCACTAAAGTGTTGAATCTTGTCTTTCTTTTTGTTGCCGTAAGTAACTAACGGCCTACTTATCACTGCTGGAAACCTTGCTTGTTGCAGCATGCAATGGTCAACTACTGCCACACCCACTTCTTTTTGTGCTTTTGAGTAACTGGTCCAATAAACATATAACCAATCTTTTGTGCCAACTGCGCCCAAGTGTCTGAAAACCCTCCATAGATTACTTATAAGTCTTCTGATGAGTGCTTAATCTTCTGACAACCTTGAATGTGCAACAAGAACAATAGAGCTGAAAATATCGTGGCCAATGCCACATGGCATAAATGTTAATGTGTAAATAAAATGCATGTATAAATTCATATTTAATTGCATGTATAAATGTACAACCTTCAGTGCGGCATGTGTAAATGCTGACACACCTTAGCGATGATCAGATTATTTGACAGTGAATGACTCTCTGGGCCGGCATCATTGCACCCTGAGGGACATTCTTTTTCCGGAGCACAATAAATCCATGCTTAATTGCATGTATAAATGTACAATCTTCAATGCGACATGTATAAATCCTGACACTCCTTAGCGCTGGTCAGATTATTTGAGTAGGGATGACTCTCTGGGCTGATATTATTGCACCCTGAGGGACGTTCTTTTTCCGGAGCACAATAAATTCATGTTTAAATGCATGTATAAATGTACGATCTTCAGTGCGACATGTATAAACGCTGACACACCTTAGTGCTGATCAGATGACTCTGGGCTGATATCGTTGCACCCTGAGTGATGTTACCTTTCCGGAGCACTCTAAATTAATGTTTAAATGCATGTAAAAATGTACAATTTTCAGTGCGACATGTATAAATACTGACACACCTTAGTGCTGATCAGAATATTTGACAACCGATGACTTTTTGAGCTGATACCCTTGCACCCCAAGTGACATTCTCTTTCTGGAGCACAAGTTCACCGAAATAAAAAATTTCATCTTAAGTTGCTTCGATGAACATCATAACCACGAAACACTATGTAAGAGGAAACACGGTTCCTTAAAAAAAACATTCTTAAATAAATTTTTGGAAAATAGCATTTTTGAAATTCTTGTCTATCACTCTCCTTATCTGTTTCTTAAGTCAATATTTTAGATGTAACATCAAAATAAAAATATTTATAGCGCCTGATTTTGTGCCTTTGTTTTTAAAGCAATATATTCGATGGCACCACGCTTACCACAATTTCACTGGCCAACAATGTAGTAGTGTACCCCACTAATGTTTTGGAAGTATGCATGTGCACAAATATATGTGACTCTCCGCAAGAAAATCTTACAGTTCGCTTTCTCAATTTTCTCGAAATAGTAATTTTGCTCTCCAAGTAAGACATTTACTGTGATAAATCAGTGGCTTTCACAGATAGATTCTTTTTGCAGCGTGAAACTAAAGGCTGGTGCACACCAGCGACTACCAGTGGTCGCGCGACCATTTGCAACTGGCGACCAAAAAGCAACTGATGTTCACACCGGCAGAGGCTGCATGCGGGTGACCGAAAGTCGCAAAAGCAGAGAGTCACGTCCGGATCTCGTTATCAGTGAGAACTCTAGAGACCGGCGCCGATGAGTTGATCACCGCCAGCTGAGTGAGCGGAGAAAACCGGTTGCGTCGCAGTTATTATTTTTTTTCGTCTGTTCTCGCACAGCGTTCCCAAAAGTGTCAAGTTCGATTCAAGCAAAGAACGAGACATTGTCATGGTGCTGATGCGCTGTGCCGTGGTGTCAGCGTTGGCATCATAGATGCCTCCAAAGAAAAAAAAGCTGGTAGTGGGTGTGACCATCTTTTTGATCGCGGGAGTTGGCTGGCCATGCAAGCCGTCTTCCTCCCGAGCTGCCCTGAAACGACGAGGAGTATTTCCGAGAGTTGTACGTATTCAGAAACGGTCCTTGAATTTAAATTGACTTGCCACAGCCTACAATACAGCACAAACGCATCTCGAACGCGGGGTGTTTAGTCGTTGCCAAGGCATGAATCACAAACGCGTTCCAAGCGCGCTGCATTGAAGGCAGTGACAAATCAAGTTCAAGTCAATGAAGCGGTCCTGAATACGGGGAAAAGATAGTGCACAATTTATTTTCTCTTTACTTTGACGGTGTTTACCTTCTTGCGAATACCGCCACGTAAATTCGACACTTTGCTTGAGCTGCTGCGCCCCGTTATCTCCAAGCCAAGTATTCCCTGGTGGCCATGGTGCCACAGACCCAAAGGAACGCATTCGTTTGTATCTGGCGGCAGGCGTGGAGTTTCCTAATATACACTAAAGGGAACTCTGGCGCTAGTGTCTATGGGAGCTACAATGCACGGCGCTTCAGTGAGCATGGGAATGATGGGTAGTACACACATTTGTCTAAACTTCGTACTTCTGGCCTGCTTTTGGCTCCGTGTGTGTTCGCGTGGCTCGAAACTGTTTTCTTACGAAACAAAAATCAGCAGATGTTCAGCGATTGAGCTTCACCACTTTATTTTTTTCGAATTACTTTTCCAAATTGGGTCACAAAGTTCAAAAACGTTGAATCTTTCTTTCAAAACAAAATCGAAACACAGCAATAAACGAAGCCGCAAGTACGATTCGCCGCCCTCAAGTACGAAGACTAGGCAAATGTGTGTACTATCCATCATTCTCATGGTCGCTGAACAATCGCAGTGCCAGAGTCCCCTCTAGTTAATTTTGAGAAACTCTATGGCGGCAGGAAGCCAGCGCGATGAATATATAAATCTACTTTGCAATAATAAACACACAACAATATAAATGATAAAATATGCACATACAATATTTCAACACATGAGATGAACACTATGCATAAAAAAGTGAACGTGAGAATCAACTGCAGTAAAGCTGTTCAGCATAAACAGTCCTTTACATATCAAATGAAAGGTTATTTAAAATTTGAACAAATGATTCAGCTGTGTTAGCGTTTACTACTTCTTCGGGTAATTTATTCCATTGTGATGTAGCATGTGGAAAAAGGGAATACTGATGTATATTAAGATTACTAAATGGCTGCTTGACTGTTCTGTTATGGTTTGTACGACCAGACCGCATGGGGGGCTCAGTTATGTAGTTTTCACGTGGTATTTTGTAGTGACCGTGGTATAGCTGATGTAAAAATTTCAAGCAAGATACAGTTCTGCGATGAGCTAGTTTTTTCAATTTGGCCCGGTCACGAAGAACTGACACACTGGAAAAACGCGAGTATGTAGTGTATATAAACCTCAAGGCCAAGTTTTGCACTCTTTCTAATTTCCTGATCAAGGTGCGGGCTCTAGATCAGATCCACATATTCTAATTTTGGTCTGGCAAGAGCTTTGTATGCAGTCAACTTTACGGCAGATAAAGTAATAATAATGGCACATTCATTATATGATTTCGTTGTTGTGAGCCTTGTGCTTCCTGATATTGACTTCATTTGCATACTTCTGCACAGTGATAATTTGGCTATTGTAAAAATGAGATATTTCTGCTCAATTATATGTCTAAATGACTTACCTAAAGAAAAAAGTTACATCTTTAGAATCGGGAGAAGCAACTAAGTAATTTTGGGAAAAGGAAGCGGTATGTTAAAAAACGTTGAGACGCAAGGAATGAGCGAGACACCACTGTGATGAGAAGTGGCTTCACTGTGACGATGCTGTGTTCTTGGTGTTGTGTTGTGGTCTACAGCGGCATCATGTAACAGACATGTGCGGTGCATAGAAAAAGAAGAAATTAGTGGGTGATTGCGCGTGTGAACATAGGACGGCAAGAAGGGCCACGACTAATCAAAAGGCGGCACCGCAGTGGCAGAGGAGAAAACGAAAAAAACTAATTGGTAGGTGGCTTGGCAGCGGGAGGGTGAAGAGGACGACGGTGCCTCAAGATCGGCCTGATCTCGCTCACTGCCCACTTGCTCTTGCGGTTGGCCTAGGATTAAGTAGCTGTCTTTGGTTTGATTTGTCTATTATTCTTTCTCATGATGTAATAGTTGTTTGATAAGTGTTTTTTGTGCATTTCATACCAGACAAGATGCCCTTTTTTTTTGCCTGTACAAGAAACTTCCCTCTGGTCTGTTTTCATAGATACGAAAGAGTTGCGAGTGAATCTTTTCTAGCCGAACGGCATATCATCCATTCCAGTGGCTCTATTCCCGAGCTATGACAGCATCATTCGGATGAAAAACCCAAAAGCCAGTCAGGCAGAATTATGGTTGGCAACAGCCCATTTTCAGTCGATATGCATGGTCCGCAAGTTCGGAAGAGGGGGCATACCCTGCTTTTTGCCAGACCGGTCCTGTGTGCAAGACTTTTTAAATTGCTTGATGTTCATTTCTCATCAAATGAGTGTGTTCACACCGCCAAATTTAGCATGCACACGAGGTCAAGTCAGTGGCATCAGCACGAACGTGACAGCCTCCGAAGTACTAGAATTGTTGTCACCAGTCGGCATTATTTCAGTCTACCGGTGTGAATGGGTGGCTGACAATTGCAAAGTACAAATTGTGTCTGTCATAGTGACATTTGCAGAGTCAGTGGGGCTATTAAAAATTAAGCTTTGGCCTCTAATTTACAGAGTCAAAACTCTCTTCCTAGCTGGTTTCTCTGTATAAAGTGCTGGCACTATGGGCACACCAAAAATGTTATAGGTGTGCAGTCACGTGTAGAGTGTGGGGAAGATCACAATTGTAGCGAGTGTCAGAGTAATGGAGAAAAATGTTTCTTATGGAATGAAACTCATGCTGCATATTGCTCAAGTTGTTCTGCAAAGGCAGGTGAAGTGGAAATTCAAGAGGTTGTTGAACGTAGATGATGTGCTTGGAAGAAAGCAGTAATTGAAGCAGAAGCACAAACACAAGGCTATGTCTTGTTACAGCCTGTAATATAACATCAATGGAAGGGGCTCTCTACGTTCCTATTGCAGAAGCAAAATTGAGAAGGCAGTGGAGTGCATCACTGGGAACCTTTGTGAGTCATCTGCCTTAATTCTCTGGAGTTCAAAGAAGTCTGGCGCGGATGTACCGTTGCAGGGTGCACAGTCTGCAGGTGCATTATAGCAGAAGTTAGATTGTCTCAAAGTGAGTGAGGTTGTCGGGTATGAAGTGCAGGACTCAAGACGAGATGGAGACAGATTCTCGGACGCTAAGGGAGAGCAGCGCTGGATAGGTGCAGCG